AGATATGCTCGCCGCTCACGGGGGCGCTCGTGCAGGCGGGGCCGTGGGGAGATATGGGGAGAGATGGGGAGATGTGGGGAGAGCTAGTGCAGGCGGAGCGGGCGCACGCTCGGAGCAGCTCGCTCGGCATGTCTCCCCCCGCCCCCCGCCTCGCCACCGCCGTCGCCTCCGCCATCCACGCCCCCGCCCGTCCCACGGGGCTGAGCCAAGGGTGAACTGATGGACAGGCGGAGCCGAAGCACGCCTGCTCGGAGCTCACCAACGCCGCCGCCCTCTTCGCCGCGGCCAGCCCGCCGCCCGCCCCGCCCCGCTGACACGCCGGCGACATGTCCACAGGCCGCCGCCCTCTCCGGCAAGATTGTGCTTGTCCAGCGCGGGCCGCGCGACGACACCGCCTGCCCGCTGCCGCACGCCTACTTCGCAAACAAGATCAAGCGCGTGCAGGACGCGGGCGCGGTCGGCGTGGTGATGGCGAACAACGTCGAAGGGAGCCTCGTCTTCATGGGCGCCGTCAGCGGCGACCACGCCACACGCCCCACTCGTCGAGGCGCTGTGAACAGCGTCTCTTCACACCTCCAGCTGTGAATAGGCGACCACGCCACCCTCGTCGAGGCGCTGTGAACAGCGTCTCTTCACACCTCCAGCTGTGAATAGGCGACCACGCCACCCTCGTCGAGGCGCTGTGAACAGCGTCTCTTCACACCTCCAGCTGTGAATAGGCGACCACGCCACCCTCGTCGAGGTGCCGTCCGTCTTCGTGTCCAAGGCGACCGGGCGGTCTCCGCATTCATCGACTCCTCTGCGGCCCCGTCATTCGTTTTCTTTTTTATGAGTAGGCGACCGGCGACCTCCTCGAGAGGCACCTGCACGACGACGCCGGCGTCTTTGTGCAGCTCGCGTCTCCGTCGGGCCGCGTGCCGCTGCTGGTGGACGGCGAGCCGCAGCACGGCGTGTCGGGCCACTCTCAGTGGCGGTACTACGAGCTCTTCACGCCGCCCGGCGCCGACGACGATCTCTCACCGTGGTCCGTCACGAGATTGCCCGAGATCACCCGAGATCACCCGAGATCAGGCGCCGACGACGTCACCGTCTCCGTCACGCCCGACTTCGGCGACCCGGGCCTGTACCCCGCGGACCCACACACGCTGGATTCGGTACTCTGGAGGTATGGGAGTAGGCAACCCGGACCTCTTTGTGCGCGTGCGCGACTACCCCGACACGCTGCGCTACACGTGGTCGTCGGAGAGCGAGGGGGGCGACACGATCCACATCGCGGCGGACGACCCGGACCTGTGCCGCCAGTGCGCGCTTGTCGTCGGCGTGCTCGGCCAGGCGTCCGACACGTCGTACACGCTGACGTACTCCGTCTCGGAGACGCTGCTCACGCTGCAGGGCGGTGTACCCGTCTCGGAGCAGTCCGTGCCGGCGGGCGAGTACCGCTACTACCGCATGTGGGTGGGCTCGACGGAGTCGGCGATCACCGTCAGCGTGACGGGCGACGGCGACGTCGACCTCTTCTTCTCCTTCACCAACCGGCGGCCGAAAGACGGGGTGAAGGGCAAAGACTACCAGAAGAAGGCGAGTCGCGACCCTCCTCCCCCCCCCCCCCAAACATCTATCAGACAAGGAGCCCCACCCCCCCCCGACCCCCCTACCCCCCTCTCCCCCCCCCCACCCCCCCTACCCCCCCCCACCCTACCCCCCCCCCCCCCCCCCCCCCCCCCCACCCTCCCCGAATCCCCCCCCCCCCCCTCCCCCCCCGCCTCTCCCCCCCCCCCCCCCCCCCCCTCCCCCGATCCCCCCCCCCCCCCGCCCCCCCCCCTCCCCCCCCCCCCCCTTCCCCCCCCCACCCCGCCTTTCCCCCCCCCCCCCCCCCATCCCCCCCCCCCTCCCCCCCCCCCCCCCGCCCTCCCCCCCCCCCCCCCCCGCAACACCCCCCCCCCCCTCCCCCCCCTCCCCCCCCCCCCCTTACCGCAATCCCCCCCCCCTAATACCCCCCTCTAATCCCCCTCTCTCACGGGCAAGGCGGCCGGCCGAAACACGTGCTGGACCGTCGACTGCGGCCAGACCATCATGGGCGGAGACGCGATTCATGTCAAGGGCGGCGACGACATCATCTGCAAGCCCGAGAGCGGCTCGCGCCACTCGCCGTGCCTCGCGTACGTCGGCGTCACCTCGCAGCGCAACTCGACCTTCACGCTCCTCTACTCGGTCGATGAGTCCACAGCCCCGACGCGGCTGCGCGACGCAGTCGCCCTCGCCGTCGCGCAGCCAACCGCGGGAGACTACAAGTACTACTCCTTCGCGGTCGGCGACGCGGCGGCGGGCGAGGGCGCGGCGCCCGGCGACCCCGTCCTCTCTCCCTTCACAATCTCCGTCCGGCCCTCCTCCGGCGACCCGGACGTGTACGTCCTCGGGCCGGTGCCGTCGTCGGCGCTCGACAGCGGGCTGCGGCCGGACCGCAACAAAACGTGCGACGGCTTCGTGGCGGGCGGGCAGCCCGAGGCCGACTGCTACACCCACCGCTCGACGGGCTCGGCCGGCGAGCTAGTCTCGATCACGCCCGACGCGAGCGAGTGCTGGAGCGCGTCAAACAGCTCGTGCGTGTACATCATCGGCGTCTACTCGTTCTCGCCGACGCAGTACACCATCACCGCGTCGTCGGACGAGGCGACGGAGCTGCTCTTCCCGAACACGGCCTCCCTCAACATCCTGCGGGGCGAGACCCACAAAAAGTACCGCTTCCGCGTCTCGGCGGACGAGCGGCTCCACGTCCTCCTCACGCCCTTTGCGGGCAACCCGGACCTCTTTGCGCGCTTCGGCCGCCCGCCGCTGGACGGGCCGCCGCCGCCGCCGCCGCCTGGCGCGCCGCCCGCCGCCGGCGGCCCCGTCTTCAAGTCGACGGAGTTGTCCGGCATCGAGGTGCTGCAGGTCTCGCCGACCGCCGAGAACGGCTGCGAGGCCACCGGCGCGGCCGACGGCTGCTTCCTGCACATCGCGGTGCAAGCGGCCACGGATTGCTCGTACTCGATCATGGTCCGCATGGGCGAGGCGCGCATCGAGCTGAAGCCCGGGCAGACGCAGGCGGGCGTCGCCGCGGCGCACGACTCGCAGGAGTACTGGATGTGGCTTGAGCAGCCGGGGCGGGGCTACTCGGTCGAGCTGACCTCCTTCCGCGGCAGCCCGACGGTCTACTCGAGGCTCAAACGCCGCAGAAGCTATAGACGAGCCCTGCACCCCCACCTCGGGAGTCTAGACACGCACTCCGACACGCACTCCGCCGTACTCGGCGGGCTTCACCGCACTCGTAGCACCCCCGAATGCCTCTACGCGAGCCCGCCCTCTGTACCCCCTCTGTACCCCCTCTGTACCCCTCTGTACCCCCTCTGCGCGAGCCCGCCCTCCCTATTCACAGCTGGAGGTGTGAAGAGACGCTGTTCACAGTAACGCCTCTGCGCGAGCCCGCCCTCCCGCCCGCCACCTCGGTGTGATGTATATGGCTCACGGCGCAGGCTCAACGCGACGGCGACCGAGCAGAGCCACGACCAGTGGGGCGACGCGCGCAACCCGCTCGTGCAGCCCGCGTCGCCGTCACCGTGCACCTCGCCTCCGTGCAGCCTGGCGAAGAAGAACAAGCTCTCCGTCCTCGTCGTCGCGGGCGGCACGGAGGCGAGGTGGACGGTGACGGCGCGGCGCCAGCTCCCCCCGCCGGACGGCGACCTGTCGAAGCTGAACGGCGTGCAGCTCCAGGACCGGGTGCCGGTCGACACGACCGTCAGCCGCACGGCCGGAGCCAAGTACGCCGCCGTCGTGCCCACCGGCGACACGGGCGCGCGGCTGTGCGTCACCACGCTGCGCGGCTCCGTCGCGGTGAAGAACTCGACCAACGGCAAGCCGGTCGAGGCGCCGCGCGCGCCCGCCGGCTGCTACAAGCTGCCGGCTGGCGTCCAGAGCGAAGTCAGCCTGGTCGCCGACGGGACGCAGTCGAACGACACGCGCGTCTCGCTCCTGCTGCAGCTGAGCCAGCCGAGCGCGGCCATCCTCGCGCAGAAGCCGGCCGCGCCCGTCTCGCTGCAGGACGGGGTGCCGCAGCGGCTCATGCTCGGCGTGGACGGCAGCGGCCGGCGCGCCACCGAGCGGCTCACGCTCACCCCTGTGGATGGCTCGAGCTCGGCCACCCTCACCGCCACCCTCGCCGCCACCCTCGCCGACCCCGCCGTCGACGCCTCGCCCACCTCGCTCGAGCTCCGCGCGTACGTCCGCTCGGAGAAGGTTGGCTGCCCGCTCGACGCCGTGGACCGCGCCAGCGCGTCGGCGGGCGGCATCGCGAGCCTCGGCGTCCCGAAGAGCCTCGCCGAGTACGACGCGTGCTGCAAGGGCAGCCCCGGGTGCGAGCTGTGGGTCGAGGTCAACGCGAGCGGGACCGCCGAGGCGGTGGTCACCGCCGCCAAGCCCGCCACCAAGTCGCTGCTGCCGCTGCGCGCCGAGGTGGGCGGCGCGAGCGGAGGCGGGCGGGGCTTCGCGACCTCGGAGGCGCAGTACGAGCTGCTGCTCGACACGGGCGCGGACGGCGACGACAAGGTTGCGGTCGTGCTGCACAGCTGCGCCGGCCGGAGAGACCCGTACGTCAAGGTCTCGGCGGGCGGCAGGAGGGTGGCGGAGGGCTACTGCGACGGGCGGGGCGGCTGCGACGGGGGCGACCCGCTCGAGGCGGGCCTCAAGGGGAAGGGGAGCGCGCTGGTCCAGGTGGACCCTCGCGGGTCGGCGATGCGGTACCTGCTCCTCGCGTACGCCGCCAAGGACGCGGACGAGTACGCCACCCTCGCAACCTCGCTCCAGCAGCGCGTCTCGCTAGGGTGGAGCGACTCTTCGGACGGCGGGTCGCTCTCCCTCTCGTTCGACGCGGCCCCCCCGCCGGCGGCGAGCGGGTGGACCACGACCTACGAGGTGTGAACAGCGTCTCTTCACACCTCTAGCTGTGCATAGGCGACGAGCGGGTGGACCACGACCTACGAGGTGTGGGCCACCGCCGACACGGACGCGCACAGCGACCCGCGGCCGAACCTCGACGTGTGGTGCGGCGTCGCCATCGCCGGCGTAAGGCTCGCTTCGGAGCCCGCGGCCGACGGGGCCGACCGCCAGCAGCTGACGGTCGCCATCGACGCAAAGGGCTGCGCCAGCGGCGAGGGCTGCCTCGAGCTGCACGCGGGGTACACCGTCTCCGTCGTGGCGGTGCACGTGGCGGTGCAGGCGGGCAGCGCGTCGCGGGGGGCGGTGCGGCGCGCCGTCTTCCTGCCAGCGCCGCGGTGGCGCGCCGGCGAGGCGGCCGGCGGCATGTCCGCCGTCGGCGTCTTCTTCCTGCTGCTCGCCCTCAGCGTCGTCGGCTACGTCGCTCTCTGGCTGACGCGGCGCAAGCTGTCAGGCGCCCCCCCCCCCCGGTAGTAGTCGTTGTATACACCGGTAGCTTTCGTAGGCTGGGTGGGGGAGGGGGGGGGGTGGGGGGGGGGGGTTCGCGGGGGGGGGGGTGGGGGCGGGGGGGGGGGGGGGGGGGGGAGGGGGTGGGGCGGGGGGGGGGGGGGGGGGCAAGGGGGGGGGGAAGGGGGGGGGGGGGGGGAGGGGGGAGGGGGGGGGGGGTGGGGGGTGGGGGGGGGGGGGGGGAAGGTGTGAGGGGGGGGAATAGGCCGAACCTCGACGGGGGGGGAGGGGTCGCCATGGCCGGGGTGGGGCTCGTTTCGGAGCCCGCGGGGTGGGGGGCCGACCACCAGCAGTTGAGGGTGGCCATGGACGCAAAGGGTTGCCCCAGGGGGGAGGGTTCCCTTGATCTGCCGGCGGGGTACCCCGTTTCCGTCGGGGCGGTCCCCGGGGGGGGGCAGGGGGGCAGCCTTTCTCGGGGGGGGGTGGGGCGCGCCTTTTTCCTGCCAGGGCGGCGGTGGCGCCCCGGGGAGGCGGCCGGCGGCATTTCCCCCGTGGGGTTTTTTTTCTTGGGGTTCGCCCTTAGGGTGGTGGGATAGGTCGCTTTTTGGCCGCCCCGGCCCATGGCCTCCTGTCCTCCCTGCCCCTCCTGCTGCCAGGCGGAGCGGCACGGGAGAGCAGAGACCTCACCGCTCGCCCGCCGCCCCTCTCCTCCAGGCCGCCACTTCGCCGCCGACAAGGAGACGTGGAACGCCTTCCTCGCTGACGTCTCTGACCACGCGGCCATCGCTAAGGAGTACGCCCTCCGCTACGGAGGCTTCGCCGCGCGCCAGCTGCACGCGGTCGCGAGGGCCGCGTACGAAAAGGCGAGAGAGCTGGCCGGCGGCGGCGGCGCGTCGCCGCCCCGCCGCACCACGCGCGCCACCGGCGGCAGCTCGCGCGCGCGCGTGTCCGAGTCGATGACCGCCCCGCTCGCCTCGTCGGCCGCCCACATGGGGAGCCTGACCGACGGCGCGCTGCCCGCGCTCGCCGAGCCGCACGAGGGCGGCGGCGTGCGCGTGCTCGCGGGCGGCGGCGGCGCGGCGGCCACCTTTGCCCCGCCCGAGCCGGCCGAGGCTGGCGGCGACGGCGCCGTCGCGCCGCTCATCGCCGCGCCGCTCCCCGCCTCCTCACCCGCGATGGGGGGGCCGCTGAGCGGGGGGGGCGTCGTGGCTGCGACCACTGCGCCGCTCTCGTTTGGCGGCGGCGAGCCGCTGCAGGTCGCGAGCATCGACGCGCCGACCGACGACAACCTTTTTGCGGAGCCCGTGAACAGCGTCTCTTCACACCTCCAGCTGTGAATAGGCGACCGACGACAACCTCTTTGCGGAGCCGGTGCTAACGGAGCCGCTCTCGCTCAACGGAGGAGACGCGCCGCTGCAGGTGGCGTCCGTCGTGCCGCTGCCGCCCGGCGCGGGGGGCGGCGACAACTAGTCGGTGGCCCGATGCCACCGTAGCTGTACGCACAGGCAAACTAGTGGGGACGACCTGACGCACGCGACGGTCCCGTGGTCGCCGTCATGGGTGGGCATGGGTTGAAGCGCGTATTAGTGCCGGAGGGCGGCGTCATATGTGTGTACAAACGCCGTGACGCGTGAGGATTTGCGCGTTCTTGTGGTTGATGAGAAGTATTTATGAAACGTCAGGCAGCCGGCCCTACCCACCCCCTAAAGAGCCGGAACCCAGTTGTATGTGTACTGTACCAGCAAATCCCCCCGCCGATACGTATGATGGTGAGTGCCGATTCCCTGAGCCGCTTCGACGCGGCCTTGGTAGCAGCGGAGCGAGGCGAGGAGGAGGCGGTGCTGGCGTGGCTTGAGGGCGGCGGGCGGGCCGACGCGACATACGAGAGAGACGGCGTGAGCGGCATCACGCTGCTGATGGGCGCCGCCTACCACGGCCACTTCGGGGTGGTCGAGTTGTTGCTGCGGGGCGGGGCAGAGATCGACCTGCAGAACAGCGACGGCATCACCGCGCTGATGGGCGCCGCCCGCTGCGGCCACGAGCGGGTGGCTGAGCTGCTGCTGCAGCACGGCGCTGAGCTCAACGTGCAGAGCCACGGCGGCGCCACCGCGCTGATGGGCGCCGCCTTCCAAGGCCACGAGCGGGTGGTCGAGGTGCTGCTGCAGCACGGTGCGGAGATCAACCTGCAGAGGAGCGACGGCGTCGCCGCGCTGATGCTCGCCGCCCACTACGGCCACGAGCGGGTGAGCGAGTTGCTGATTCGGCACGGCGCTGACGTCAACCTGCAGGACAGCGTCGGCGGCACCGCGCTGGTGTACGCCGCCTTCTTCGACCAAGGCCACCCCGCCGTCGTGCGGCGCTTGCTGCAGGCGGGCGCAGACGCGGCGCCCACTGTCAACGGCAAGACGGCGCTGCAGCTGGCCAAGGAGAAGGGCCACGCCGAGTGCGTCGAGATCTTGGCCGAGGCGGCGGCGGCTGCAGATGGCCGGGTAGGGGCGGGCGGCGCTTCCTCGGGCGCGGCAGCGGCAGCGGTGGACGCGCCGCTGCTCGGCCAGCGAGTCGAGCTCGGCGGGCTCTCCTCCCGCCCCGAGCTCAACGGGCAGCGGGGCGAGGCGCGGAGCTTCGAGGGCGGGCGGTACGCGGTGGCGCTCGAGGGCGGCGGCGAGAGCGTGCGGGTGCGGCCGGGTAATCTGTCGCCGGCGGCGGCGGCGCCGAGCGGTGGCGTGGCAGTCTCCGACGAGGTCGTGGCAGCGGCTGGGCGAGGCGACGAGGCGGCGGTGCTGGCGTGGCTCGAGGGCGGCGGGCGGGCCGACGCGACGTACGAGAGAGGCGGCTTGAGCGGCCTCACGCTGCTGATGACCGCCGCCAACAACGGCCACGAGCGGGTGATCGAGCTGTTGCTGCGGCACGGCGCTGAGGTCAACCTGCAGAGGAGCAACGGCTTCACCGCGCTGATGCTCGCCGCCTACAAAGGCCACGAGCAGGTGGTCGACTTGCTCATGCAGCACGGCGCGGAGATCAACCTGCAGAACAGCGTCGGCGAAACCGCGCTGATGGCCGCCGCCGTCCTCAACCACCCCGCCGTCGTGCGGCGCTTGCTGCGGGCGGGCGCAGACACGGCGGCGCGCAATGCGAGCGGCAGCACGGCGCTGCAGCTGGTCAAGGAGCAGGGCCACGCCGAGTGCGTCGAGGCCTTCAAGCAGCACGTCCAGGAGGTGGTGGCGGGACGGCTCACGGTGGCGGCAGCCGGTGGCGAGGGCGCAGGAGGCGCTTCCTCCGGCGGCGCTTCCTGTGGCGGCGCTTCCTCGGCTGGATCGAGAGTCGTGACGACGCTATCTCCAGCGGCGGCGGGGGGGCGGGCGTCGAGCGGTGCCGCGGCAGCCCCCGATGCGGTCGTGACAGCGGTTGGGCGAGGCGAGGATGAGGCGGTGCTGGCGTGGCTTGAGGGCGGCGGGCGGGTCAACGCGACGTACGAGAGAGACGGCGTGAGCGGCATCACGCTGCTGATGCTCGCCGCCAGCTGCGGCCACGAGCGGGTGATCGAGTTGCTGCTGCGGCACGGCGCGGAGATCAACCTGCAGGACAGCATCGGCATCACCGCGCTGATGGCCGCCGCCCGCAACGGCTGCGAGCGGGTGGTCAATCTGCTGATACGGCGCGGCGCTGAAGTCAACCTGCAAGACAGCGACGGCGACACCGCGCTGATGGTCGCCGCCCTCTTCAACCACCCCGCCGTCGTGCGGCGCTTGCTGCGGGCGGGCGCAGACACGGCGGCGCGCGCTGAGAACGGCAAGACGGCGCTGCAGCTGGCCAAGGAGAACGGCCGCGCCGAGTGCGTCGAGGCCTTCAAGAAGCACGTCCAGGAGGTGTTGGCGGGATGGCCCACGGCGACGGCAGCCGGCGGCGAAGGCTCAGGCGGCGCTTCCTGCGGCGGCGCTTCCTCGGCTGGATCGAGAGTCGCGACGACGCTATCTCCAGCGGTGGCGGCGGGGCGGGCGTCGAGCGGTGCCGCGGCAGCCCCCGTTGAGGTCATCGGAGCGGCGGAGCGAGGCGAGGAGGAGGCGGTGCTGGCGTGGCTCGAGGGCGGCGGGCGGGCCGACGCGACGTACGAGAGAGGCGGCGTGAGAGGCATCACGCTGCTGATGACCGCCGCCAACCAAGACCAAGCGCGGGTGATCGAGCTGCTGCTGCAGCGCGGCGCTGACGTCAACCACCAGAACAGCGTCGGCGACACCGCGCTGCTGATCGCCGCTGGAAACGGCCACGAGCGGGTGGTCGACTTGCTGATACGGCGCGGCGCTGATGTCAATCTGCGGGACAGCCTCGGCCAGACCGCGCTGATGGCCGCCGCCGACAACGGCCACGAGCGGGTGGTTGAGCTGCTGCTGCGGCACGGCGCAGAGATCAACCTGCAGGACAGCAGAGGCGTCACCGCGCTTATGCACGCCGCCCGCTGCGGCCAGGAGCGGGTGGTCGACTTGCTGCTGCGGCGAGGCGCGGAGGTCAACCTGCAGAGGAGCGACGGCGGCACCGCGCTGATGATCGCCGCCTTCCTCAACCTCCCCGCTGTCGTGCGGCGCTTGCTGCGGGCGGGCGCAGACGCGGCGCGCACTGTTGACGGCAAGACGGCGCTGCAGCTGGCCAAGGAGAACGGCCAGGTCGAGTGCGTGCGCGCCCTCGAGGAGCACTCGTCGACCGCAGCAGAGGCGGAGGGGGAGACGGCGGTTGCAGAACCAGCCGAACAGGCCGCGGCGGCCGCACGCGAGGCGGCAGCGGCAGCGGAGGCGGCGGAGGCGCGCGATGCTGCCGAGGCGGCGCTGCGCGAGGCGGTTGAGGCGTGCGAGCGAGGCGACGCCGATCTCGAGGCGCTCAGGGCGGCGATCAACGCGAACACCGAAGGCGCCGACGGCTCGGAGGCGTTGCGGGCGGCGCGGCGGCTGCGCGACGAGCTGGCGGAGCGTAAGGTCCGCGAGGCCAGGGCGCTGAAGCGGCAGCGCCAGAAGGAGGAGAAGGCGGCGCCGGCGCCAGCCCGGGCGGCGGAGGAGGCGGAGGAGGCGTCGCGTGCAAGGGAGGAGGCAGAGGCGAGGATGAGGGCGGAGGCGGCGAGGGAGAGGGAGGAGGCGAGGATGAGGGCGGAGGAGGCGGAGGCAGCGGCGGAGGCGGCGGCTGTAGAGGCGGCAGTGGCGGCCGTGGCGGCGGCGGAGGCTCAAGAGGCGGCGGCAGCGGAGGCGGCGGCAGCGGCAGCGGCAGCTGCGGCAGCGTCGGCGGCGGCGACTGTCGCCGCCCTCGCTGCCGCCGCCGCGCCGCCCGCCGCCGTCCCTCTCGACGAGCTCATCGCGGCGACCGACGGCTTTGCCGAGGCGCGCAAGGTGGGCGAGGGAGGCTTCGGGCGCGTCTACCGTTGCGACGCGCTGCCGTCGCTCCCGCGCGTCGCTTGCGGGTTCGCCGTCAAGACGGCGCTGGTCGGTGTCGGCGCCCAAGGCCTCGCCGAGCTGCAGAGCGAGGTGCGCACGCTCAGCGCGGCGTGCCACCCGTCCCTGCTTCCTCTTCTCGGCGCTTGCCTGGCGCCGGCGAGAGCGTGCCTCGTCTACCCCCTCTGCCGCGGCGGCAGCCTCGAGGACCGCCTCTACCGCGCTCCAGCCGCGCTGCAGCGGCTCCGCATGCTCGGCTTCGAGACGCCGCCTCCGCCGCTCTCCTCCGCCGCACGGCTCCGCGTGCTGCGCGACGCCGCGAGCGCGCTGCATTACTTGCACACGCTCTCTCCGATGGTCCTGCACCGCGACGTCTCGGCGGGCAACATCCTGCTCGACGAGCGCGGCAATGGCTACCTCGCCGACGTGGGCCTCGCGCGCGCGGCAGAGGCGACGGCCGGCGGCAGCCAGCAGGTCTCGCACCTGTCGACGCAGCGTATCTTTGGCAAGCCCGGCTACATGGACCCGATCATCTCGCTGGACAACCAGGCTTCGCAGCTCACTGATGGCTTTGCGCTCGGCATCACGCTGCTCGTTGCCCTGACCGGCCGCGGCGCCGTCGGCTTGCTCAACGCGTGCGACGACGCGCTGGAGGAGCCCGACACGGCGGAGAGCATCGCGGCGGCCGACGCGGGCTGGTCGGCGGCGCAGGCCGAGGAGCTGGCGCGGCTGGTGGTCGGGCTGGCTCTCGTGAGGAAGAAGAAGCGGATGCCGCTCGCAGAGGCATTGCCGCGGCTGGAGGCGCTAGTCGAGGCGGCGGGGGAGGGGGAAGAGAAGGCTGGGGCCGAGGAGCGCCTGTGTGACCTCTGCTGGGACGCGCCGCGCTCGGTCCGCTTCGCGTGCGGCCACGCGCTGTACTGCGAGGCGTGTGCGCCGCGCGTGCTGGAGCGCGACAGCAACTGCCCGGCCTGCCGCCAGCCGGCGCTGCCCATCGCCGCAACTGGGCGGCTGGTGGCGGCGCAGACGACGTTTGTTCACCAGCCGCCCTCGCGCCCCGCGCCCCAGGCTCAGCCCGTGGGCGCCACGGCGGCGGTCGGCAGGCGAGGGGGGAGAGGGGGGCGTGGACGTGGCGGGCGGGGCTGGCGGGGTGGGCGGGGCGCGGGGCGCGGCGGCTCTGCTTAGCGCCTTTACACTTCATCGCAGAGCGGCAGCCGGCACGCTCACGGAAGGTGCCCGGGTCTGCATTGCCCGACCCCCCCCTCCGGCTCCTGCACTTGAGTTTGTGCGCGGGAACACAGGGAAGACAAGTTTTCGTGTGGGGTGTGGGGTCTCGCGTCTCCGCGTCGAGCGGCGAGCCACGACGCACGCGCGAGCGTGTGTGCGGCGTGGGAGCCCGGGGGTACGATGTCGGCTGCTGCAACTTTCTTCAGAACATCTCACCCGCATAACACCGCCGGTGCGGACGTCGCGAGCGCGGCGAGCATTGCTCTCGTGTGCGGGCACTGGCTAGTGGAGTCCGGTTCGCCGGCCAGCCGGGCCCAGAGCGCCCGCAAGTCGGGCAGCTCGTCGACGTCCGAGTGCGTCTCGAGGACGGCGCTCGTCAGTCCGGCACGGGTCAGCGCCTGGAGCTGCGAGAGGCAGGTGTCGCCCGCCGACCAGCGCACGTCGGAGAAGCAGAGCCGCTCATCTGCGCCCTCGGGCAGCGCGAGCAGAGTGTACCCGCCGTCGCTCGCCGGGCAGACGGCGGCGACGCCCGGCGCGGAGCTGGCGCTCGCGGCGGCGAGCAGCGCCTCGAGGGGAAGGTCCGGGCAGTCGACGCCGAGAAACGAGACCCGCGCGCAGCCGCGCGCCGCCCGAGCTCGCTGGCCCGCGTCGCACAGGATGTCTCCGAGGCTGGAGCTGGCGGCGGAGGACGAGGAGAGGACCGGCTGCAGCCTCCAACGGTCCTCCACGCGCCCCTCCTGCAGCAGCGACGCGAACCACGACCGAGCCTCCTCGGTGGGCGGCGCGTAGGTCAAGAAGCACTCGAAGCCGCCGCCCTGCGATGCCGTCGCCGCCGCAAAGCGCTGGAGCAGGTCGAGCGTCGCCGCACGCACAAAGTTGGCGATAATTGCCTGCACGGCGTCGTCGGAGGCGCAAAAGGGCCGCAGCTGCGCCGCGAGCCGCGTCTTGCTCTTGCCAGCGCCGGGGTACTTGGCCAGGAGCACCAGAGCCGTCGCCCGCTGCGGCCCGCTGTTCGTTTTGCGCAGCGGGCTGGGCGCACCCACCATGCGCCCGAGCGAGTATTCAGCCAAACTCTGCACCCATTCCATCGCGTTCATCTCTGAAGCGAGCAGCGGATCTCTAAAGAGCAGTGGCCTGCCAGCGACAGCGTCAAGCCCAACGAGGAGAAAATTTACCGCCCGCGAAAAGAAATAAGAACCGGCCCGCAAGCGTGGAATAGGACCGCCGCAAGCGGCGTGGCGTGGAGCGGTTGAGCGTCCCTCCGGGGGCCCCTCTGCGCCGGGGAGGCGTTGTTGGCGGCTAGGACGCAAGCGTCCGTCGCCGTTTTCAAACTCGGGGCCCACTCCGCTACGCTCCGACCCGAATTTGGAGGGCCATGAAATTTAAGGTGTTGCTGCGCAAAAGGGGTGGCGCGCGGGCGCGCGCGGCGGCGGGCGTCGAGCGCGGAGCGGCAAACACAATGACGTCGGAAAGCTCTGCATCAAGTATACAGTAGGCTCTAAGCACGGAACCAGAGCGCGAAGTATCCTCTCCGTCCCGTGCAAACGAGTGGCGAGGGCCGGGGAGGGCGCACGCGTTCGCGTGGGAGGCGGGGCGAGGTGCCGCAACGCGGCGCCGCCCGTGCCATGTAGACGCCCGCACAACCAGAGATCGCCGCGAAGCCCGCCGGGAGGCTCGAGAATGGCGGCGCAGCAGGGAGGGCGTGAGATGGGGCACAATCGCCGCCGCCCTAATCGACAAGTATTCATGCTGCGGCACGACAGATACGCCCGCCTGCACACAGTCGCGGGCGTGAGGTCTCAATTTTGTCGCTAGGACCCAAGAGCAATGCATGCACACGCATGTGCATGTTGTGCAATGACAGCGGGAAACGGCGTCAGGAGGCACTCGCTCAGGCGATCCGCAACGCGGGCATTGCCCGGCCTGCGCTGCAGCACGGTCTGCGCAAGAAGAAGCGCCGCCGGCGCGCAGCCGTTGCAGCCCGCTCGTAGGTTGTGTCCTGTGTGCGAGGTCGCGAGCCACCAAGAAGCAAGATGCACACCTGCGCGCGTCGGGCGCGGGAGAGAGTGCGATCGGTCGCCCGTCGCTCGAGCCGCACGCGGGAGCGACCAGAATACTCGCCGGATGGCCCATTTAGGGCCGCGAGCCTGCGGCGAGAGGGGCAAAGGTGCGGGAGGTTCCTCGTGATGGGTTGCTCGAGAGCGGCACAATCGGCCCTGGGCTGACCCTGGGGACGGATCAGGGCGGCACTCCACACGAGAGCGGGTTCGGCACGCCTCGGGCTGTCGCAGGCCCTCGCTGCGGCGCGCCTCGGGCTGTCGCCGGTCCTCGCTTCGACTGCCATGCCTCGGCGCTACCGAATGCGCTTACGCAAGCAAGCCACAGCGTGCGGGAGGAAGGGGCACATGCTGGCGCACCCCACGCCCGATCACGGCGCCGCGAGGAGCGAGTACGGCGGAGACGGCTGGTCCCGACCAGGGCGAGCGCGATTCCACCCAGGCAGGCCCGGCGGACCCACATCGCGCTAAGGGCCGAGGGGACGGAAGTTTTAGCTATAGATGTCGCCGCGAACTATAGGATTAGATTGGCGCGAACTGCCGTCTGTCAGTAGTGGAGGCGGACGGATGAAAAAGAAATGTGAGACCCAGCGCGACCCTAAGGAAAATTAGGCGCGGAGCACCGGCAACGCAGTGGCAAGCAAACCGTTAAATTTGCCGGGAGGTCTGATATTTGGGTCTCGGATTTCAAGATTAGAGACCCCCTGGAGAGCTAACGAAGTGGCAAAAACAGGCTCTCAGTCACCATCCTCACGAGGCGGGGGGTGCGTCACAGAACACCGAGTCCATAAAGCTAAGCTCCTCCTCGCCTTCAGGCTCAGGAAGCTGCATCGACACCGGCCCATCAGCGGTTAGAGGGGGGAGATCTAGAGGATCATCTGAGCTGGAGCTAGCGGCGGCGGCCGAGCTAGCGGCGGCGGCCGGGGTGCGAACCGGCGGCATCACTGATTCAGGCTTGAACCCGGGCTGCTGGTAGGGCAGAGTGATGCCGTTGGCAGCGGCGCGCTCCTCAGCCCAAGACAGGAGCTCTTCAAAGCGGTTGACTCGGGGCAGTAGGGCAGCTATGGGCACATGATCTCTAACCCCAAAAAGCCATGTGCCCTCGTCTGGGCGCCTGAAGATGGAAAAGGAGCCAGTCGGGTTGCTAGCGTGCACATCTGGTAGCTGTGTGTAGCCGGCGACAACACGCGGCGGTGGCGGCAGCGGCGGTGGCGTTGGCAGCGGCGATGGTGGAGGCACAGGACCGCACTCACTGTCCCACCGCCATCCGGTCGGAAGCTGGTAGTCGCCCCGCATCTCGACTACCCTCGCGCCCTTGAAGACGAGCCCGCTCTTGATGGAAGGCCGGAGGCGGCAGGACCGGCCTGCGGTCGAGGAAATAAATAAATAAATGAAACCTGCGGTCGAGGAGTATGAACAGGCAACCTTGATTAACTATAGGACCGGCCTGCGGCGGCGGCCCGTCCAAGGTAAGGAAGCTCTGTCAGCGCACATGGCGCGTCAGTGCGCTCGCGCGCTGTGAGCAGAATGAAGCTTGGGGAGAGTGAGGTGGCGCAAGGACGAGGCAAGGAGGATAGCATGCAGCGGGAGGAGGGTGCTCACGTGTGGGCAAGAGATGGGTGATGTGAGCGAGTGGTGTGAGTGTGATTGGGCAAGAGACGGCTGTGATGTGTGAGGGCGTGGTGTGAGTGTGATGCAGTGCAGGGTGTGTGCTCACCGCCCACGGGCAGAACGTGGCTGACCCTCTGATAAGTGATCTGTGATCTGTGAGGGTCCGCCCGCAGGCGCATTTTGTATACCGAGGCGGTGCCCGGTGCCGAGCGCAGGCAGAGCCCACAGGTCGGACCTTAAGACAGCGTTGTAGATCCCTGGGCGAGGGTGATGGCGTCCCCGTCGGGAAGGGCTGTCTGCAGTGGTGGTCTACCGTCACCCCGCCAGCGGCGCCCGGCGGGTTCGGCTTAGACCTCCACTGTCTGTCGGCCGGCCGATCAAGCATCAACTCGGCCGATTGAGGGGCTAGGGGCGAGTGCGTCGTCGCATGCCAAGATGAAAAAACTTAGAGCATAGCCCCCTTGTGAAGCAATATGGTTAGCGAGTGCTCTGCTGAAGGAACATGAAGTTGAACAATGCTCAATGGAGATTGAGAAGCGCCCGCACTGAGACAACACATACACCGAGTGCCGGAAATGGACACATGCTCCCCAAGGTCATGCAAGCCCCGGTGGGGAGAGAGAGGCAGAGTGTCTGAGAGAGCGAGCGTGTTGCCTCCCCCCCGTCCCCCCCGCCCCCCCGTCCCCCCCGCCCCCCCGTCCCCGCCGCCTACGAGTCGATCCGCACCTTGCCGAGCAGCGAAGCGCAGAAGCGGACAGCGCCGCCGCGCACGGTCCTCCACTTGGAGTCACACCCGCGCAGCAGCCGCAGCACGTCCTCCGTGTCCAGCATCATGTCCAGCTCCTCCTCCCCGAGCGGCGCCGCCAACAAGCCCCCGCCGCCCTCCTTCGCCCCGCCGCCCTCCTTCGCCCCGCCGCCCGCCGCCACCGCCGCCGCCGCCGTCGTGCGTGCAGCCTTCTCCTCCGCCTTCGCCTCCGCCACCTCCGCCTCGGGCATCGCCACCGCCTTCGCCTCCGCCTTCGCCTCCGCCTTCGCCTCCGCCTTCGCCTCCGCCTCCGCCTCCGCCGTCGCCTCCGCCGTCGCCTCCGCCGCCTCGGTCTCGTCCGATGCGGCAGACCGCGGCGTCGGCGGCTCAGACTCGTCGTCGTCGTTGGGGGCCGCCTCCTTGTTGCGCAGCTTGAAGGCGGCCTGCCGGCACAGGCGGTGGCGGCTGGGAGGAGCGAGAGGGGCAGCGGGGAGGAGAGAGGCGGGCGGAGGGGTGAAGGGCAGCGGGGAGGAGAATTGGCAGGTGGAGGGGTGAGAGGAAGAGCGAGGCAACTGGGCGGTATCGCGTTTCAGATGTTCCTGGTGTCGCGCCCTCCGGAGCGCCTCGGAAAGTGTTTCGGAGGCGCCTCGGAGGTGCCTCGGAGGTGCCTCGGAGGTGCCTCGGAGCTTCATC